ATTCTATAATAATTGCAATTATCTAAAATGTATTAAAGACTTAACGGAAGTGTTATGCGTTTGTCAAAAGATTAATTTATGTATTAATAATGACATAGGAAAAGAAACAATATTTATCAAGGTAAGAACAGCCTTCTTCTTCTTCTTCTTCTTCTTACAAGTGTTTCTCTTCTAAATATGATATTTTAATAGAAAAATCATTGTAATAAGTATAATTACATGATTAATGTTGAAGAGTTTACTATTATAGATGAAAAGAATGAATATAGAAATATGAACGATGTAGTTAATTTTATTCAATTGATAATAGATAATCGAAATGAAAACTGGTAAAACTATTTTGAATTATGTTGTAATGCTTTTATCTTATCAATTTTTTGTACTTTTATAAAGAAATAAATATGACTTTTAATAAGATTTTAGCTATTCTATTTGAACCTAGTTCAATCTCTAAAGTATATATTGTATAAACGAAAGTTACCAAGAGCTTGATCAGTATGCTTTCAATTTCTTGTTTCTGATAAAACAGTCGGAAATTTAAACTTTCTATCTAAATTTAGAAATATTTCTGCTATATTCAAGAATTATAATGCGTTTTTATATATAAACTAAAGAATATATTATGAATAGACTAAAACGTTTGATATAGATAACATTTATAACATAATAAGTATGTGACATTATGAACTTGACGCTAAGACTTTTTGTCTTTTCAATATTCAATACAAATTGTTCGTTGTTCAAAGATTTTATAGATTAACCTGACAAAAAAAATAGTCTATTCAAGTTATAGAATATATAGCATATGTCGAAATTTGTTATAACGCTTCCTAGATGAATTGAAACGATATCTCAAGAGACTATAATTAAAAAAAAAGAGAGTTTACTTGTTGTTTTTACTTACGTTCAAGATATAATTTGTTCTATTAATAAAGTTTAGAGATTGTTATCTATGGGTTAGAATTCATTATTGGATTATAAGGAATTTAAATTTTGGCCTAGAGAGATGTATAGTTTAAATAGAAAAACTATATAAGTTATTTCTTCTAAATTGATATATCTCTCTTTCTATGATAAGATAAAGGAGACATATTCTGTTTACACCATGAATTATGAGCAAAACACGTCATTTTTAGTTGTCTCTGTAGCTTTATTTTTCCATTTTCCCAGTCTTTTTCTCTTTGTCTGTCGGTCTGTCTTCCACTTTTTCCTTATTCTCTTATACACAGTATATATATATATATTTCTCCCCCGTGTCCTAACTGAATGACCTAGTTAAAATTGGAATGTAGAATTATGTCACTTAAGACTAAAAAATAACATTAATAATTCCTCAGCAATAGAACTTGTTTAAATAGTGTAGTAAACATAGGCTTATCAAGCGGAAATTTCCCTGACCAAATATAACACTAAAACCATAGAGAGCATGAAAGTCTCATATAGGCCAATCTTGTTAAAGCGCAAGATAGAGGTTTTCATTTATCGCCCAGCAGTCATACTAATTAAATGAACATTCGATATATGATAATGTTACTTGAAATTAAATATTAAATTTACTATAAATCAATAGATTTATAGATTTCATTATTATTTGAAATGCTAAAGAAATGCATTAAATAATGAATTTATAAGAAAAATAAATCTGCTATTTTCAAGGCTACAGACGACAAATAAGCTAAAAAGGAAAGTAGGATTATAACCGTCGTATATTTGGAAGAAGGATATATTAACTTAACATATGCTTCTCTTATAAATACAATTATGTTGAAACTGAGCAACTTGTGCATAAAGGTAAGGAAATTTTAACAGTAAACAATCATAAAAATGTTCATATTTCGAAACGAATTGTTTAAATCGTTTAGAGGATATTATAATAAAATGCTTAAGCTCTTCTATCAAACGGATATCTTACTATATATAGGCCTTTTCAAGAAAATATAAATCTTTAAAAATCTCGTAAATGACTTTAAGGCCTTATTATTAACCATACAAACAGGTTATCTATGTTAAATGGAGGAGAATATTATCCAATTCAACTGTAGAAATTCCATGTCTTGTTGGTGAAACGCTTTTAAATTATTTCGATAAAGAAGATTGCGGAATAAGTGAAGAGATTTTCATCTCTATTCTAAATATGGTAAAGACTTTAAAGACAATTGAAATCCATGGAAATAGACTATCGAAGAAAATTGTTGAACTTTTACATAAACATTCGATCACTACTTTAAAATTACATAATTTTAAATTTGATGTAAAAGAAGAGTATTTTCCATCCAATTGGTCGAAAAATTTAACTGAAATCTCTCTAAACAACTGCAAATTTTCCAGTCGTTCATTTATTTTACCAAAACGAAAATCATTGAAGAGAAAAAACGATCAAATGACATCTAATGATCATTTCTATATTCTAAGGAATTGTATTAAACTTACAAGTTTAGATGTTAGCTATACAGATTTTAATGATATTCATTTGAACGATATAACATCCCAATTGCCATTAATTCAAGTATTGAATTTACAAAGTACTCAAGTAACAAATATTCTACCTTTATTACGACTTAAGAAGTTAAAGGTTTTAAATTTTTCGGATTGTTTCCCAATGTCTCATACTGTAGATATTCTACGTTGCCTCACCAAATTAGAATGGTTAAGATTATCCGAACCGCCAATCGACCAAGAAGGAAAAATGCTTATAAATATATTAAGTAGTTGCTATTGGAAACATCTAGAATACTTTGATTTTTTATATTCAACATCTCTTGGAAGAAGTTCTATTGCAATCATAAAGTAAATACTTTTATTTTGTATACTAAAATATTGAATTTATTCATAGTTTTCGCTCTCTATAGAAACTTTATAAAGGTTCATACTAAATTAAAATTTCTGGGACTTTTGGGTTTTCCACTACCAAATTCACTTCCTGAAGATTTGGGCCTGCTTGAATACATATCAGACAGATCAAAGGATATAATACCTTTTATTGTGATTGTTCAATTGATCGATTTTGTTTTTATTTAATCTATAAGAGTATCATTGATTTTTTTATAGTTTACTGATGAGACGGCCTTTCAAGAAACCTTACCAATTTTTTTATCGGACCATTATCCAGAGAGTTCAATTCTACTCTACGCAAGAAATTATCTAATGAAAAATGCCGCCCTAAGTCGTTCACGTTTTTCGTCATTCTTTAACACGCTAAGTCAATTAAGTAAAGAAAAATACATAGATGTAAGCCTATTAATTGTATATTATACATATTTATTTGTTAAATATTAAACATATTGCAGATTCTCCTTCAATACTTTGAATTTATCGTTTATAGAAGATTAAATTTATCACCAAAGATTGCTTTTCCAGAAGATCAGATATTACATTTATGCTTTATAGAAATTAATAAAATATTCAAATTAAATCTCAAACATCAATCAACTAAGGCAAAAGTTAAATTTTTCAAGTTATTCTTGGCGGTAAGAAAGCATTTATTGATAGAAAGTTATGAAAAAACACCTTTCTTTACAATACCATTCTCAAAATATCTGCTGGATTTATATGTGACATTTAAGGAAGAAATATCAGAAAAATGTGTTATTGTTTACTGTTTAATATCTGAAATGATATCAAAAAATGTTCAAGAAATATCTGAGTTATTAATTCCATTTATTTTGGACTTGAACGTTAAAACGGTAAGAAGGGAAAATACCACATTTTTATAAATTTTGTTTTTCATGACGGCATTGTTCATACATAGTTGACTAACTTGGAAAAGTCCCGTTTAAAATTTTGGCTATCCAAATATTTTCAATGTATTACAACTGTTAAGAATATTGAACAAGTTCAACAGATTCGAACTGTTAAAGAGATTGTTAAAGATCGTTTGGAAAATCATTTAAAAACTACTCTAGAAATTAATAAATTACGCTTAAAAAGAAAATGGTACGAATAACAATTACGTAATTAATTAACATTTTTATTATTTTTTATCATTTTTAGGCCTTTTAGCTGTCCAATTAAGAGATTAGGACCGAGCCCACCGAAAATATTAAAGCTAGTATGATATTGATTATGATGATGATGATAAGGATGTTGTTGGGGGAATTAGTGACAAGTTTAGTGATAATACATTGTGGAATTCAGCATCTAAGTGAAATTAATTTCGTACTAAATCTAGTATGGAATAATTATCTATAAAAAAGATTTTTTCTTTGTATAGGGCTATATTTTAATGGCAGATGTCTTATCCAATAACCATATCATATATAATGTTATATTATTTAAATGAATCAGGGAGAAATCTTTGTTTAATGCAGACCGCCGTGTACGGTTTAATTTGCAGTTGAATATTGAATCTTTCTATTGTATATACATTTTTCGATTTAATATATATTTGTATTTGATTTGTTAAATATTCAATAAACTTTAACTTGAACACTTTTTGAATACTTTTGAATATTTTCAATTAAATGCGTAGTTTACTATGACGAATTGTACAATACTTGAAATTCGAGTTGATGATGCAATAAATGTTATTAAAAACTAACTTGGCTTTGTGGCTTAGTTGGTTAAAGCGCCTGTCTAGTAAACAGGAGATCGAGGGTTCGAATCCCTCCAAAGCCTTTTTGTTTAAATATAATAGAAATCTTTTTTTTTTTTAATTATTAAAATTTAATAGAGCATAAATGAGATACGAACCAACTAAACTAACAGATTAAAATATTTACTGTGTATTGAATAATCGAACTCTTGAACAAGTAAACTCTTTTCTGTTACAAATATTTTATGCTTATTGCGTAATAATTCTTTTTTTATCAATATTTAAATTTATTTTACAGTTGTTAATTCCTATGTAATCATTTCGATTTAAATATCGATATAAAAGTAAATAGTAAATACAGCTATTTGACAATATTTCTACTATGAAACAATATATATAGGTACAGTATTCCCATTAATTCGTTTGTATTTTTTCGCGTGAAACCATGCTAATGTTTAAATTCCGTTTCCTGTTTCGTCTGCTACTGTTTTGATTATGGCCGTCTGCTCTAATAGTCCCACTTTCCATAGTCTAAATAGTTAGTTTGCTATTGGGTGTCACGTAAAAGAGATTAAAATGGAATTTCCTGAGACCGAGAAGCAAAGATCTATATTTGAGAATGGACGCTTTCATAATCCATGGCCAACTTGGAAAAATATTTCGTTTCTTAAGGGAGTCAGTGTTGCTCCAAAATTTGTCTGGAATCAACTCACATCGGCTCCAATGGTTTCTAAAACAGAATTGGAAAATGAACATCCTGTTCTAAAGCCAGACGTGAAAATTTTGGAAAACCCTCCAACAGATAAAATACAATTTGTTTGGATTGGACATGCAACTTTTCTTATTCAAATGGAAGGATTGAATATTCTCACCGATCCAGTATTTAGTCATCGAATTGGACCTGTTTCGTTCATTGGACAGGCTAGGTACAGAAAACCAGCAATGACAATAAATGAGCTACCAAAAATAGATGCTATAGTAATTTCACACGATCATTACGATCATCTTGATTATAACTCAGTGAAAAGTTTAAACGAACGCTACGGTAATAACCTTAGATGGTTCATACCGTTAGGAAGAGGAAAATGGTTAAAAGATTGCGGTATAGAAAAAGTTACAGAGTTGGATTGGTGGGAAGAAAGCGATACAAGCTTAAAAGGAGTAAAATTTGTTTGTACTCCATGTCAACACTGGTGTAAAAGAAATTTAACAGATACCTATAAGGTAAAATACAAACCTAAAGTCTTTTACCTATTATTTCTAGTGTAACAATTAATATACATAATTAATTTCAGGCGTTAGCGGGATCTTGGTGCATTATAGGCCAACAACAAAAGTTCTTTTTCGCTGGAGATACAGGCTATTGCGCCAGTTTTAAGCAGATAGGTTATCATTACGGTCCGTTTACACTTGCAGCTATTCCGATTGGAGCATATGAGCCTAGGTTAAATATCCATCAATTTTAAATGAAGTTTATTATATTAATTTTAATTAATTGTTCAAAATAGGCACTTTTTACAACCCCAACACGTTAATCCTGAAGAAGCCATCTCGATTTATGAAGATATCAAAGCGAAGCATTTTGTACCAATGCATTGGGGAACATTTCTCCTCTCATTCGAACCTATACTAGAACCACCTAAGAGAATTTTAGAAGAAGTTAAAAGACGAAATTTAACTGCTGACTATTTTCATTTACCAAAACTTGGTCAAGTTACCAACGTTTCATAACTTCATCTGCAATATGGTTTTTCAAATTATTAGTGTGAAATTTTTGTTTCATTCTCAAAAGAGTTTAATTTTGAAAATGAAATCTATAATTATTGTTTTGAAAATTAATGTGGCTTATAATTACGATCTACGCTCTTACCATCTGGCCCATTCGTATACTTAATACGTATTAAGCAGTGTAGATAAACAATACAAAATGTTCAAAAATTTAACTGAAATCTCTCTAAACAACTGCAAAATTTTCCAGTCGTTCATTTATTTTACCGAAACGAAAATCATGGAAGAGAAAAAACGATCGAATGATATCAAAGGATCATTTCTATATTCTAAGGAATTGTATTAAACTTACAAGTTTAGATGTTAGCTCTACAGATTTTAATGATATTCATTTGAACGATATAACATCCCAATTGCCATTAATTCAAGTATTGAATTTACAAAGTACTCAAGTAACAAATATTCTACCTTTATTACGACTTAAGAAGTTAAAGGTTTTAAATTTTTCGGATTGTTTCCCGATATCTCATACTGTAGATATTCTACGTTGCCTCACCAAATTAGAATGGTTAAGATTATAAAATGCTGGCTTAAGTCGTTTACGTTTTTCGTCATTCTTTAACTCGCTAAGTCGATTAACAAGTAAGATTTATAGATGTAAGCCTAAAATGTGCATTGATTTTTTTCTTTCAACTTGTACAGTATATATGCTATCGCTCGTTATATAATCAATCATTTACTTTTCTACATTTGTTAAAGAACTATCATAAACCCTCTAAGAGAATGAAATCACTTGCAGTAGTAATGATATTTATAATTCAAGTTATATTTGGACAATTGCCATCTCTGTCAAGTAACAAAAGTTCTAAGAGATAGCATGCGAACAAAGGCTTTCGAACTGTGATAAAGAGAGAGGAATAGAAATGAACTTTATGAATTATCAGACTTTTAGCCCTACTACATTTTGTAAGAACTACAGAAGTCATCTGAAATGCTTACAAGAGTTTGATTCTTCCCAATGTTATCCAAATCGTTACAATATGGAAGAGGCCTATTTGATAAAAGTCTGTAGTAAAGGTAACTAATTACATTTTCAAAGTTATGATAAAAAAAGGTAATCGTATTTAGCTTGCCAATGTGAGCTTGACAGTTGTAGAGGAAAGTCTTATCGTGACGGATGTAAACTTTGGTATTGTTTAAGGAACGCCGTTATTCAATGCAATGCGTATAACGAAGGCGTTATACGACTTTATTCGACTGTTATGAACTTTTGTATGTGTTGTCGAATCACTTAATATTTCATTAATAGTTTTATATATACATTTTTTACATTAGGTAATGGAGACGGTGGATATTGGAAGAAAAATTGTCGTCGTACGTATAGGGGCTCATATAACGTTATAAAAACTATGATTAATTCTGTTGAGACCAAAGTAGCCGAATATTTTTATACTTTCGGTTTGCTATTATGTGCGCTATTTTATAGAATATACAGTTGTTAATATGAATATATAATCCACAGGATTACGAATGAATGTTCAATTGTAACATTATACTGTATATGTTGAGAATTATATCTGCTCAGAAAAAGCACAGTAAAGAATGAATACTGTTTTAACTAATACGAAAATAGAATAGCAATATATTGATTAATTCTCTATTATACATGAGAAACAATATGAAATATTAGGCCTAGATATAACAAGATATTTAAACTAATTATTGATGATTTGTTATTATTAGTAGTTTGTTGTGGTTCTTTGTCTCCATTTTCCAGTTTATGAAAACTTAATGGGATATATTCATTAATTTCAGAGTTTTGTCTTGTATTGCATAGATTTGTTGAACAAAAACACCTGTTTGCCGAATCTAAATCCTCTCTATATAAGCAACCATAATTCTTAACAGAATAATTCTTATGGCAATCTCTTCTTATTTCTTTTTCACCTAAACAAATGTGAAAATAAGTATATAACAGTATTGTAGCTTTGAATATAACTACCAGTTATCATATTCTTGATTGATTGGAATGCGCATGATTCGCGAGATGGATTTATATTACAAGTAAACTTTTCCTTTTCTTCTTTAGTTAATTGTGAATCGTCTAAGTTGTGACCACACCAACTTTGGTATTTGGATTCGCATTTCCAACATTTTACACCTATTGAATAAAAGAAAATTTACCTTTGTAAAAAATGACATATTCAATAGAATAGACTGTTCAAAACAATAATCACTTTTAGGCTTTCTATTTGAAGTTATTAATGATGCTCTATTACATCTATTTTCTGAGCATAGACACTTAACAATTGGTCCATCATTATCAACTTCATAGGAACAGGTATCAAGGAGTTTTTGTTTCTTATTTTCACAATTTCGGTAAACTTTATCTTTGTATAACATCGTTGAACATATTCCGTAGTGTTTACAAATTTTTCCAGTTTTATTTTCAGGTTCTTCAAACTTTTTACCACACCACGGATCCTTATCCGAAGAGCATTTCCAACATTCCGTCACCTCTTCCGTCCTTACTTTTTAAAAAGAGAGATTTTAGGCTAATCATTCAAGAATTGATAGGCAAACTTTATAACAGAGAAATATAAACAAACCGTTGAGAATTGAGGAGAAAAAGATTAATATTGAAATAAAAATTAGATATCTTTTTATTTCGATCATCGCACATGAACAAAGTTTGAAAAGATACTAAAGTAAAGCATAGAAAAATTAATGGCCAACTATAATATTTTGCTTATAATTAATACTTAACTAATCACAAATAGATGATTATTATCAATTGATAGTAATTAGTTTACTATTTTGAATATAAAGTGTAAATGCAGTGTGTTATTTGTTTCTTTTGTAAATATTGCTAATTGTTTTTGTATGAAACGTCTCATATTTTTTATTGATTAAAGATTCTTGGTATAATAATCATTAAAGTAAAAGTGTGACCTTTTACTGGGCCGCTCACACTATTCATTTTATCATGGGTTATATGAGGGGAAGTTTCCAGAGGTGTACGTTCCTCATTGATTATTGGTTGGAATATGGGCGGATCCGCGTTTATGCATTCAAGCAAACAGCATCTTAAATAATTTAACCCATACTTGACGGAACGGTAAATGATGACGTCTGTTCATTCCTTGCCAGTCATAATACTCCTTTTATTTCCAACTTGAAGTGGTTAACAATATATATCTATATAAGTATAAATAACATTATAATTAAGTAGGGTAGTTAAAGAAATTCTACTTGAACAGCCTGAATATAATGTCGTTAAACTATCTTGTTAATACAGTGTATATTGCAAATAATTAATTAGTGAATAATATCCTTAAAAAGGGGAAAATAAGTCTGTTGATGTGAATATTAAGTTTTTTTTGTATTCAAGAGAATTGAACCAAACTAATTAAACGTTAATAATTCATTTGATCATGAAACTATTGTGCTTTATACTTTCAATACATTTTGTGTATTTGGAGATTTGCCAAAAAAAAGACTTAAAGTTTGTAAAGATGTTTAATCTTTTTTCTATTTTAATATTTCGTGTTATCTATCATCAAAATTCAGCTTGGAATTCTTAAGTAAAAATGTTAGTTTTCATCTATTAAATATATCTAACTACGATAAATTTTCAATTGTTGGAGAATTAAATATTAAAATAGATGAATTGGACGTTTTATATTCAATACAATACGATTTTAATCATTATTTAAATCAATTTCAAGATGTATCATTAAGCATATGTTCAAAACTTGGCTACGATAATTTAAAAGTCAATGTATTTACATGTCGTCAATCTGAAAGTCAGGCTTTTTTATTTATATTTTGAATTTCATTAATGATTTATTAATAAGTTTAATCTTTATTATAAAAGATCTAAATCGTATTTTACTTGTTTGCAATAAAGGAAATTGTAATATGTAAGTTTTTACATAAAGTTAATAATTCTGGTTATATAAATAAGTTACTTTCGTAAACAATTTTTAGAAAAAGTACTTTATCTTGTCGGAAAGATTTTTATAAATCTTCTAAATTCTATTGCATAAGATGCTTTTTAAGAGAAAAACCATGTAACAAGAGAATGAATAATAACTATATTCTTAATAATCTATTAGATTTATTCTATACCGGTTTAGATATATATTTTACTGAAATTTTCGGAGAGGATACCGAAAAACAATTAGCGTTTGTAAGATACGAGAATAAATCATATAGATTGTGCGCAAACGTTTCACATGATTACGAATATTATGGTTGTAGTTCGACTTATTGTGACTATGAATCGGACGTCTCTTATATGGTTGAAAAACAAGCGATACTAGTCACTTCCAATACGAGTCAAGGAAAAGTTGCTAAAACTTCGTTCATGTTCTCTGCGAATGACGGACTTTCAAATACCCATTTCAATATTATAAACAACTGTATAACAATCAATCTTTATTATACTGAGGAAAAAGGTTTCTTTCGTTAACTATCTTTTTCTATATATAGAAAATTCATAATTAATCAGATATGGAAATAACTTATAATTTCTCATCAAATTCTAATAGAACAAATCTGGAAAATCCCTTAAAAGCTACAATATATAGCAGAAGCTTTGGTCCTATTGATATCATTTTGAAAAAGATATTAAACCAAGGTAGATAATTAAAATATGAATTTTACTTTTTCAATTGACCTTTGACATTAAAAATGTTCAAAGATGTTAGCGCAGTACACGGATATTCAGTATGTAAATATAATCTAACACTCTACGACGTCTACTTTGAGAGATGTTCAGATAATAATGAAATAATTAACTTTGGCGGATCCTTTTATGTAGAATTTAAAGCACATGGTATTAGTTTGCTAAAGAGACGTTTATCTATGCTACCTAAAGAAGATACAACATGTCTAAAATTCTATTGTATAGTTAAACAACAAAAAACTAAATCAACGTTTCGATTATCAAAATATAATTCAATATTCTATAAGGATAATCTATTTAAGCCGAGATTATTTATTGGTACTTTGGAAGCTTATTATCAAAATGGTTGGAAGAAAATTCTGGCATTTCATCTACAATATAACGATATTCAAGTTATTATACATATACAGTATAGAGTATTTCATTTCTATTGTATATTTTTAAGGTTGCTTGTAAATATTTCGGATATAAATATGGAACTATAGATACTATTGATCAAAAATTTGATTTTTATATAAATAAAAGATACGCCATTATGAATTGTACTGATAAGAAACTTTTAGATAATTGTAAATTATCATCAGATTCAAATTTAATTGCCAAATTTTTACCATCTATTGCAAGATACGCTAATCTTCCAACTGTTGTTATTACATGTACAAATGCCATTAAATTTGGTTTATATACTATTTTTCTCTGTTATACTATAGTTTCTTTTAATTAATAATTCTTTTCAGAATGTCTTATGAAGAATTCAATGATTTACAAGAAGAAATGCTATTATTTTTTCCCATCAGAATTACGTTTAAATCATACTGAATCGAATAGTCTATGTTCAAAACATAACTTATCTACTATATCTATATCTGCATTTGATGAAATTCAATTT